AACTCTACAAATGATAGACCTCCACGCCACCCTATCCTCAGCTCAGGACTTGAAGATTCAGGGAAATTGCTTCCTTGACTGAGTTTATCCATCTGAAATGAGGTCTTCCTTTTTCTTACTGTGTTCTACCTCACCAATCATTATTATCTTTTCATTATAGCCTTACCTAGATTAATTGTCTGGCTGCTGTTATTGTCTCTTCTTTTCAAAATGTGAACTGAAGCTGAGCATGAGGATAATGCATTATCAGGACTGGGACTGCTGTGTATAAGAGGGTAAACTTTTCCCTCATGTAATAATCTTAGAGCCCTTTCACACTACATGATTAACTGCCATTATTCCACTTTAACTGCTATGTCTGCATCCTAAAGCTTGCAGTTTGCTGTAGTCGTTGCTGTTGTGTGCCTCCACATTCTTCTCAACTGATGCCAACCCAAAAGCTGCTCTATCACAGGGCCTTCTTAGCAAGATTTGTTCAGGAGGGGTTTATCTTCCTCTGAGGCTTAAAGAGTGTGACTTTACCAAGGTCATCCATGTCTCACAGACACTCAAACCCTGGCCTCTAGAGCTGTAGTCCAATACTGAAACCATTACAGCATGTGGGCATCCCTTCTGGATTATAGCCTGAATGAATTATCTCATTTCTGTCTGCAGAGTTGCTAATTCCTGCAATTTACCATGAGCTTAATAAACTAAGATAAATGTGTTGAATAGAAGTGACAAAAGAGCAAGATTTGTAAATAAATAGCTCCCTTTAATCCCAATTTTGGGGGAAAAGATGGGGTATAAAGATGATAATGGCATCTTAAGGTCCGAGCTGCGGTTAACGCTTGTTTCAAGAATGTCTGTCCTTATTTTTCAATCCACAACGTCTTTCTGTGTGCTGCTTTCCCTCCCCTTTCCTTTTCTATGACCCTAACCACATTACTGTTGACATTCAAAAGTAGTTTTATGTACATAGTGTATTAAAGAAATAAACAGTTGCTTTATGGAACAAAGATGGCAATGCTTTAAAGTCAGTGGGTTACGAACACAAGATCGTGTGGATCAAAGCATGTATTTTACCTAAGTGAGATGATGGTGGAGGAAAGGGGGGAAAGCAGATGCACTGATACAGTATGAGACTAATAGCCTCACTCAAGTGGTGGCTACAAAGAAGTGAAGCATGCAGCAATGTATTGTACACCACTCTCCAGAATAAAGAAACACCTCTTCTTTGGACTACAATTTTCAGAGTGATCCCTGTAAAATATTCTGGGGCCTCAATCCAAAAATGAAACTTTCTGAAGCTCTGCCACTTTTTCAAGCAAGTCCTTTGGGCTAAATTCTAAACCCACCATCACAGTATACCTTGTTACCACATCCTGCTTTTGGGCCTCCACAGCTGTATAAAATCCCACATTATCTTTTTTGAACTGGGTTATATGACAGTGTGGACTCAGATAACCCAGTTCAAAGCAGATATTGTGGGATTTTCAGCCTTGATATTCTGGGTTCTGGGCCCCAAGAAAGGTTTGCTACACTACTTTTCACATATTGAATGCTATGAAACATAATCCCCTGGTGTCCAGATTCAGCACCGATAATGTTATTTCATGTCTTCAATAACAACAAATTACAGAAGACATATGAAAGTAACTGGGCTACACTGAATATCCTGAGATTGGCTTTCTGCTTTTTTGCTGGGACTCTTCCATCTTTTGCTCCCCTTTGTAACCATTCCTTGTAGAACTACTTGTTGTTCTATTGCCCTAGTTCCACTAACTTCCTGATCTAAGGGCCCTTCCACACAGCCCTATATCCCAGAAGATCAAGGCAAGAAATCCCACATTATCTGAGTGTGGACTCAGATAACCCAGTTCAAAGCAGACATTGTGGGATTTTATGCCGTGACATTCTGGGTTATTTGGCTGTGTGGAAGGGCCCTGGGAGGCACAAATACAGCCGGAAAATTAATGGCACTGATAGCAATAGTAATCCTAGCAATACTTCTTAGTTATATTGTTGCATAAATATTAAGCAAGTAAGTGCATTATTTGTGCTGCTGATGGGCAGGTAAATGCAACAAGTAACTCCCAAGACAGTGTTCTTAGGAAACCAAACTGAAGCTTTAGAAAATCCTTCTTATTTCAAGGCAGGTCTTTGGCGACCCCTCTGAAACCCCCTCGTGACTCCCACCCCCAGGGGTCCTGATTCCCAGGTTGAAAAATGCTGGATTATACTATTCTTTAATAGCCAAACTGATGCAAATGACCACGGCATAAATCTGGTTCTAAATGCTCATGAAAGAAGGGTCTTTAAACCAAAAGAGCATGTATTCGAGTTGATTTATACGTTCCCATGAACCTATGTTTTATTATAGCTGAGACCAACCACTGAAAACAAAAAAAAAAACAAACTAAATCTCTATGTTTGCAATCAAGACACACATAATAAAAATTATGATTCCTTTTATTAAAATAAAACATACACTTTATTTACAAAATCTAAGATGTGCTCCAAGCAGCATTTCTGATGTATTATTATCAATGGTTAAGAGAAGATTTCTTCCTGGTGTTCCAACACTGCTATTATAAGATTTATTTTTAAAATGTTGTACACAAAAGCATTTTCCTCTTGTTTGCTAACATTTCTGAGACAACCAGCTGTATTAATATACCGGCTTCAGGCTGGCCCTGGATACAGAAGAGCATTTTTAAAAGAAATGCTCCGAAAAATAAATACTTCCTGCTCCATGTCACATATACCAAATAACACACATGCTACTAAGATTTCGCCATGAGCCATTTCTTTCCTTCTCTGAAGCAGGAATAAATCATGCTTGTATAATGCAGTCCATGACAATTACTGCCTTCTCATATTCCTGTGCTCACAAACATCAGGGTAGGATATCTATTATCAATACTGCAGGAGAGGGAAAACACATGAGTGGCGATTCCTAATGCAAATCTTCTTCATGTATGTATTTCTTGCATGGAAGAAGAAGAGGAATGACATATTATCTGTGGTTAGTAACACATTTGAGAAGAAATGGTTTTTGTAACAGTTGCTTTTTGCCTGGATTGCAAAATGATCTCTTTGACTGGAGGCACCGCAGAATTATATCACTAAGAAAATAATCCCTTGCTGTGTGTGGTTATTTCCCCAAAAGCCTTTCTGTTAGATAGGAAATTTCCAGCTGCTGCTATATTTCTCAACGTCATGACGTATCAGTTGACAGGTGCATGCATAAAAATATACAAAAAGTTCGGCCAAATTAGCATATTTTTGAATGGCTTGTTACAATGCCTTTCAATCTGAGCATAACAAGGACATTTAACACAACGTGCACTCTTGTCATATTTCAATATCCACATTTAAGCATTCATATTTTGGCCTTCTAAGACCAATATAGGCCCCTGAGCATTGGTTCTCAACCCTAGAGATTTATAAAATCTTCCCCTAGAGTTATAAAATCAGAACGCTCACATTTTTTATTATTTTTCTGGGGAAAAGACTCAATGTGTTCTCACCTCCCCCCCCCCCCCCCCCCCCCCCCGGGTCTTCACATCTCAATCAAATTTGAACCTCAAGAGGTGTCCAAATGCATCAAAATCACAACCCTTTAAGTCCAACTTACACTTCTTTTTATTTTTTAAACCAATACAGAAGTGGCTCTCAACCTTTGGATCTCCAGATGTTAGGCCTTCAACTCCCGAAAATCCTAACAGCTGGTGAACTGGCTGGGATTTCTGGGAGTTGTAGCCCAAAACATCTGGGGACCCACAGGTTGAGAACCACTGCCCTGGAGAAACCTTGTGGAAGCAGAAAGTGACCTGCTCATTTCCTGTTATAAAAAAGCCCCTCCTGGGCCTAAAAGCAACCAAGACCTCTTTCCCACCAAATACATTTCCTTTTATTTTCAGAGGTAGTTGTAATTGGGGGGGGGGGGGGGTCATGGTTGTCTAAGGTTTTCTGGGGTTACAATGCTGCCCCATAGCCTTTGAACACTTGCACATTGGTAGGAGTTGAATTCCACAAAGGATAGGAGATTCACAAAATTAGTTGAATCTCACCAAACGTATGCAGTCATTAAATATTATAGAGAAATTAGTAAAGGGCATTACTCCATATGCATAACCCTGCCCCCATGAGAATGGTATGATAACACCTGGGATGAGCAGAAGTGGCATCTTTCACCTTTCTATTCCACATTAAAAATGATAGATTTTAGGGTTGGGGACGGGACGGGACAAATTGTTCATTTTTCCCCTGGCCAAAACCATGTGAAAAAAGCAAGCTGGGCAAGTGAATCAACATCCACTGCCTTAAAACCTTTTCTTATCTTACTACTTAAAAAGTATATATTTCCGCCCCTCAAAAGCTATGTGTCAATACCAGCATGAAGACAAGGTCAAAGCTATGAAACCAATTTACAGATTACGGAATAGAACATCTTTCTTTGCACATATCCTACTTCTATGAGACTGCCCAGGTCTGATCTCTTTTTGTCTGGATCTACACTGCCCTATATCTCAGGATCTGATTCCAGATTATCTGATTTGACCTGGATTATATGCGTCTACACTGCTAGATAATCTGGGATAAACTGATACAGGGCAGTGTGGAAGGGGGCTATATCTAGGCTGAGTTTTACGTATGGAAACACTATTAATACATGACATACACAGTTTCAAAGATATAATAAGATAATTGGCTTCTTTTTAGTGCATTGAAAAAAAGATTTATCCATTGTCATGTTGGTCTCCTGCTATGCCAAGTAAAGTCAAACAGATATAGACCATATTCAAGAATGTACTTATCTTTTTGATTTCTTTAGTTGTATGATGTTAATACTGAATAAAACTATGATTAGGTCTGATTCATTAGATATGATTACCTCAGATACGGCAATTTGGTCACCACATCGTGTATTTGCATTTGGAAAACGTGAATTTCTCCACAACGACATCACACAAAAACAACACAATTATCAGGGTTATCATGTGGGTCAAACAGACCTTGACTTAAGGCATCCAGGCAGGACACTTGTTTCGTATCAAGGTTTTCCATTGCATCTCCTCTTGAGACTTCTCCAAGAGACGTTTGCCTCTCGAAGATGTTATTGTTGTTGTTGACTTGACTTCCATTTTGCTTCAGTAATCTGAACACCTCTGTTTCCAGTTCTCTAATCTAGGAGAAATGCGGTCAATATTAGCAAAATCCTGTAAGCTTTCCTTTTCATCAGAAGAGCTGATCAGGAGCCCCCCGTGGTGCAATGGTTAAACACTTGTGCTGGTAGGACTGCTGTGTGTCAGCAGTTCGAGTCCGGGGAGAGCAGGTTGAGCTCCCTCTGTCAGCTCTAGGTCCCCATGTGGGGACATGAGAGAAGCCTCCCACAAGGATGATGAAAACATCAAACATCTGGGCAACGTCCTTATAGATGGCCAATTATCTCACACCAGAAATGACTTGCAATTTTTTAGTTGCTCCCGACATGAAAAAAAAATCAGAAGAGCTGCCAGAAATATTATCAATACACATTTATTTAGTAACACATACATATACGTGAGAGCTCCTTAACACAGGGATACCCTTCACACAGTATGACACTTTTTGTTTCTTCAAAACATGTCTAAGTTGCTTCTACACAATTTGTAAGAAGACAACTAATAATACTTTCACAATAAAAGGAAGTAGTGAAAATGACTTACGCGAGCTTGCAAACCTTGAACTTCTAGAAAGTGAGCTTTTTCCAGATCTTCTATTTTTTTTCTTTCTGCTTCTTGCCGCTTAATAAACTCAAGTTCTCTTAGGAAAAAAGAAATAGTTGTTAGGAAAAAAACTCCTGTTAAGTGGTAAGAAGAACCGAAACAATTTGCTAGGGCAGTGCAATTTAACATGTACGTTCCTAGGAAATTGCTATGTTGATAAAAGGTTTTATACTAATCTGATGATAATGAACACACAGTAGCAAGAAGCTAAAAAGAATGGAACAAATATTTCCCCATTAAAATGAATAAGCCGAGGCTGCATTGTGAAAGAGGTCAACTTGAATTATCTCTGGTTTGCTTTATGAAAGCATGTTAATCACTGCAGCTGAAAAAGTGAAACTGAATTGATGTCAGTTAGAAGTACCCTATATATATAAGCTGAGGCACCTAATTTTACCACAAAAAACTGGGAAAATGTATTGACTTGAGTATAAGCCGAGGGTGGGAAATGCAGCTGCTACTAGTAAATTTCAAATTAAAAATAGATACCAATAAAATTACATTAATTGAGGCATCAGTAAGTTAAATGTTTTTGAATATTTACATAAAACTGTAATTTAAGATAAGACTGTCCAACTCCGATTAAACCATTATTCTCACCTTTTTCAATGTAAATGTGCTTATGTATCCTTCCAATAATAATAAAGAGAGTAAAATAATAAATGTATAAAAATAATAATAGAGTAAAATAATGGAAATGTATCAACAGTAATAACAGAGTAAAATAATAAATGTAATAATAATAGAGTAAAATCATATAATAATAATAATAATAATAATAATAATAATAATAATAGAGTAAGGTAATAAATGTAATAATAACAATAATAAATAGAGATAATAATAATTGTAATAAAATAATAATAAAGTAATATAAATGTAATAATAGTAAAAATAAATAGAGTAAAATAATAAATGTAACAACAACAACAACTCAGTAAAATCATAAATAACTTTGACTCGAGCACAAGCCAAGGGTTTTTTTTCAGCCTTAAAAAGGGCTGAAAAACTTGGCATATATCTGAGTGCATACAGTATATTATATAGGTTGAATGGTCTAATACATAAATGTACATATATAGCTACAGTATTTGTTTATTTTGGTACAATGTTTTAATATTAAAGTCAATGTTTAATTTTTTGCTTTCAGTTTGGTGAGGTCTTGTAACTTTTTTGGGGCACATATTTAAAATATTGCAAGTAAAACTGGTTAATATATGTAGAGAGAGAGAGAGAGAGAAAGTTTTAACCTAAAATGGATATATATGTGTATTCTTTGTAAGCTTCAAGCATTAGGACCAGGCACTGTAAGTCCCATTTACTAATTACATGGTTTTACCATCTCTCCAGGTTTACATAATTCAGTAATCCCTATTTTTGAAGCATCACGGGTAATACTCGGACTACAGAGTTATTTGTAACAATTTTAACTGAATACAACAGGAGCTACTCCTCAGTACACATCCCTAAGATTGTGTGAAATATTTTGTTAGAAATGAAACAAAACGTGGTGATTATACAAAGTAAAATATTGTATTTTCATCACAGAGCTTCTAAAAGCAGCATTTTGGGGGGCGGGGAGAGAGGTATTTTGTGGGTGTGAGTGTGTATTTGGGTTTATAAGATCTTTAAGGGGGTACTGGAACCAGTCTTCAGTCTTTAATTCTAATGTATGTTATAATATTAGCTATCTATCTAAAAGTAAAAGTACAGTCTGTTTGTTTGTCTGTTTGTACCACAATGATTGTTGCTAGGTATAATGGCCTTCTATGATGTCACTGCAAAAGAAAGGTGACAGGTGTATGGGGGTGGGGGAGAGGAAGAAAGAAAGAAAAGGAGGGAAAGGAGGAAGAGAAACGGAAAAGGGAAAAGGTATGAAGAGGGAAAGAAAGAGCAAGAAGGGAAAAGAAAGGAAAGGAAGAAAGAAGGGATGAAGGAAGAGAAGCAAGAGAGAGAGAGAAACAGGGAAAGGAAAGATAGAAAGAAGTGGGGAAAGGTGTATGAGGGGAAACAAGAGAAGAAGAAAGTAAGGAAAAAAGGGAAATGGAGGAAGGAAAGAAAGAAAGAGCCACAAAGTGAGTTTATCCACCATTCCCAGAGTGTTGCCATGGGTCTTTTCGGAGCTGGAGAAGTGAGAAAGTAAGCAGGCAGTTCTGCTTACTTATAAATACCCAAGCAATGTTGGATATATATGCTAATATTATATATTATTTATATCAGAGATATTACAGAAAACAAGAAAAATCAATGCCATAGAGTGGTAAATTTTTCTAACTTGGAATCAAGGTTTCCTTATGCCATTTCTCCAACACAATAGCATTTTAAAAAGAGTGATGTATGACATTTCTGTTAAATGACCTTAGGGCAGGCAGTGAACTCATTCCCTTCTTACCATCACAATAACCCTGTGAAATAAGCTAAGTTAAGAAAAAGCTTTTGGTCACCCAGCAACCTGTATGTTCAAGCAGAGATTTGAACCTGCATCTCTTCATTCCTAATCCAAAACAGTCTAAACACTATCATATACTGATTCTCTGAATGCACTTAGTATGGTATCTAGTGAACAGAATGAGGTATCAGCTTGAGGTTGCTACTTACTTTTGCTGAAAGTCCTTAATCAGTTTCTTGGCTTTGTTGTATTTCTTCTCTAGGGCCTGATATTGGCTTTGAGTCTCCTTCAGATGTTCATTGACAGTGTGACACAAGGTTTGTGCCTCAATCCAGTAGCTCTCGAGTTTCATCATCCTGTCCTTATTCTCCTCAATGTTCTGCTGAAGTTGGTTCTTCTCCAGCTCCCACCTTACTTTCTCGTTCTCAGCAGCCTGCAGCTGGACCGAGTAAGACAGGAGTATTTTAATTCAGCTTTACTTGACTGGAAACAGTAGAGTGGACAGGAGAAAGCAGGAGGGCTTCATGGACCAAGAGGGGAACTTCTTCCCACAATTTCAAAGGGAGGCATCTTAAATTCTCTGCCCATGAGTTGCCAAAATAGAACAGTAGCCCACGACTTTTGAGGTTATAGATAGAAATAATATACTATACTATGCTCTAATATATATTTCATAGCTACATGCTTTGTAATAATTTGGTCCTGTATTTAGAACTTCATAAGCCACTTTGAGTCTCCGTGCAGGGAGAAAAAGCAGAGTAATAGTAGTAGTAGTAGTAGTAGTAGTAGTAGTAGTAATAATAATCTATTTAAACATTTCAAATTAAATCCTTTCATGCACTCAAAATAATCTTAGTTCTAGTTTTAAAATTTCTAAATTATTTTGGTTATTTACTTACTCATGTTTATCCCATCTTACTCCCAATATAGGGACTCTCAAGGTAGTTAACAATAATTATAAAACAATGATAACTGAAAACAATATGAATATATATAATACGTACATTAAATATAAATATAAAATAAAATTATCAGTAATTATCATTGTTTCTTAATACCTAAATGTATATGTTTCTATTCCGACATTTGTTCATTTTTTGGTGCTGGTCAATAACAACAATAAATAAATATATTTATTAGTAATTTGACAGTGTATTTTATATTTGACGTAAAGGCAAAAATCACAAAGAATCAACTATAGATATTATACAATTCATTAAAATAAAAGGAAACTCTGTTGAAACCTGTGATTTAAATTCCACTAATATCTGCATAATAATTTGCTTTATTTAGAAGTCTAGGAAGGGGAACAAGCCTTACACACAATCCAGCAAACTTTAAATTTTTTTTTTTAGAAATAACAGATGAATGCTTAGCTAACAATTGCTGAAGATTATATGACACCAAATTCCACCCACATGGATTTCTGCAAGTAGATCAGATGTGGGATGGGGGAGAGATTTCTGGGTTAGTATAAACCAAATGGGAAATCAAAAATAAATAAAAGAAAAAATGATGCTGTAGAACAAAAAGAAATTCAGAATTGGATAGGATCAGGGAATTGGATAGGATCAGGGAATTGGATTCAAAGCTGGGCTATAAGACAGGACATTTTTAGATGGAGGAAAAAATTAGAGAACAGGATAGTCCATTTGAGAAGGTGATTAGAAAATGTTTGAGAGAGGAAAAGAAGGTGGCAGGAGATCTGTATGAACAAATCATAAAGGTAAAAGAAGAAATAATAGATAAAAATTTCCAAACATGGAGAATGGACATGGACATTGAGAGGGAAGACATCCAAAGGCAAATAAGTAATATAGCAAAAGAAAAGTACAATGTATTAAAGAAAACAAGAAGGAAAATGTTACAAAAATTACACAGAACTGGGTTGTTGTAGGTTTTTTCGGGCTGTATGGCCATGGTCTAGAGGCATTCTCTCCTGACGTTTCACCTGCATCTATGGCAAGCATCCTCAGAGGTAGTGAGGATGCTTGCCATAGATGCAGGTGAAACGTCAGGAGAGAATGCCTCTAAACCATGGCCATACAGCCCGAAAAAACCTACAACAACCCAGTGATTCCAGCCATGAAAGCCTTCAACAATACATTATACAGAACTCCTTCACGACTTTTCACGTTTTTTACCAGGGACAAAGGACATGGTTGTGAACAAAGAGGGGTGTTTAATCACATGATATGGGAATGCGATTGAGTGCAAGAATACTGGAGAATGAAGGAGAAATCAATAGAATGTTAAATCTACAAATAATAATAGTTAATAGAAACGGGCTACATGCAAGGATAAAAAGAGTGAAGAATATACAAAAATGGTCGACAGGGTGTGCACAAATTGTTTTAGTGAGGAGTTGGAATGACAAAACAAAATGGACTCTGATGAGTATACAGTTAATATGTTAAATGTGTAAATAACAAATTATAGATAAAATTGAAAAGGTTAAAATAATTAAGTGAATGTGGGAACCAGTTTGGAATTATTTAGAAAATGTGAGAATCATACCCCTAGACTAAGAATTGCTATGATGTGGAGTGGAAAATTAAGTTTAAGATTGAGATTTCAAATGTAACTTCTGTAACTTACTGTAAAAATTGCATGTAATGTAATATAATGGTATAGTAGAATATCAGTATTATATAGTAGTATATAATACTGATATTGCACTATCTTAATAATATAATATATTGTATGTATATATATCTTGTAAGCTGCTCTGAGTCCCCTTTGGGGTGAGAAGGGCGGCATATAAATGTTGTAAATAAATAAATAAATAAATGTACGATGAGGGGATGTTGGGAGTGGGATAAAACAATAAAAACAATAACAAAAAAATGATGCTGGGATTTTCATTTATACCTGCCCTTACTGACTGGTCTCACAACCATCAATAACAAGATGAAGACTGTGTTTTGTTGCTGAGTTTTCCCTCCTCTAAAACCTTAAAAACCAAATGGAACCACTGCAAATTCAACACAGAAGTTAAAACTGGAGAAAAAATGATTCTAAAACATGAGACTATCAAAACAGACAAGTCAACATCTCAAAGAGATTATGAGCTTGGCATGCTAATTGATGTAATAAACAAGAGAATCTATTTTATTATAGGAATAAATAGCATTTACAAGAACAAATTGTGAGCTAAATGGCTTTTATCGGTGTAAGAAGAGAAAGTGATAAGACTTTGTGCCTTTAGACCACTGGCGACAGTTTTTTTTAAATATAAAAAGAAAATACTTTTGCCTATTTCTTTCCAAGCCTGTTAGAAATCTAATGACGTGGGAGAAGAGTGCAAATTTACTGCCTAATTGCAGCCATTTTTCCTTGTAATAATAGACCTCTCAGTCTCTTTAGGGCTCAGACAAAACTATTTTTATCAAACCAAGCACTCCTGAGCCATTGCACGTTGTGCTTTTTCTCAGCATGCGTTCCCAGTGAGAACTTATTTTTCTCTGCCTCCCTCTGGAATCAGCCCACAGCAGCTGGAAATGAAGACTATTCCCTCGTAGCAATCATCCTTACCTTTGTTTTCAGCTTTTGAATCTCAGCTTCTGTAACTGCATGTTTGATCTGCAACTGAAAATGCAAAACCACAAAGCGAACAAGTGAGCAGCGACTGTCAAGAGCTCCAGTATTATTTCAGCTTAAGACCGTCTACGCTTCCACCTGAATACCGTTGTACACACAGCAGAAGGCCCACAAAAGTGCTGCAGTGGAGTAGACTGTAAATTAAAATATCTAGCTTGGAAAATGACTCAGTCTATGCAAGTTAATTAAAGAGAAAATGTTGCTGGCTAGCCTCTCGGAATCTCAGATCAGGCCAAGCAATCCGCCTGGACAAGTCACAATTTCTTGAAGGGGAGGGAAATGCCAATTGTCGTGCTTGGCTTGTTAGCCAGCCTTGATTTGAATATCCCAGTGCACACAAATATTCTTAGAAAGCCTTGGTGCGTGGATTAAGCAGGCATGTCAGAGAGGGCAGCTTACACAGAAGCCGGCTATTAAAAGGCTCCAGCAGCACAGAAGAGACAACTCACCCAAGTATGTACAGCTACCAAAAGGAAAGAGTGCTGTACCTGAGCAAGGACAGGGATCTGCCCTCGGGTGTCACTTATGTGACTTTCCTTCCAAAACGAACATGACACGATCTCCAATTCTGGACTTTAATATGCTCTTTAGGGTGGGCAAATGAATCTGATTAGAACTGTCAAAAATTCTCTCTGAGAAATGGCAATGGTGAGATTTTACGAGCCCAGTTCAAAAATAAAACTTAGGATTGCAACTACAGGTCAGATGAGAAAGGGTGCAAATATTTCTATTGAACAGTGGTTCCCATCCTTTTTTTGACCAGAGACCACTTTGACCAGGGACCGCTCTCCAACATTAGTACCAAAAGGGTTACGAATGAGTTTTTGGTCAAATTTAGATTGTGTTTGGGGTGCTGATTCAGAAAATTACATTGGACAGACCACATCAGCTCTAGTTTCTGATACAGAACATATGCCATGGTCAGCAACAGGGAAAAAGTGGCAGGCAGTGCAAAAGTAGCAGAAATAAAATAAATACAATACAATAAAATACATAAATAAAGAGGAAGGAGGCTCGCAGACCAGATTTTCATCCTCAAGGCCCACAGGTTAAGAATCACTGCTACAGAAAATACATTTTAAAACCATATTTGCATTTACACAACATACACACACCTATGCATTGTTTTTTAATTGGTCTGTGTGTGTGGTGGGAGGGGGGGGGGTCACAGTCCAATCAGGGCTTCTTAAACATTTTCTCTTTCAGTCTGAGAAACTTTTACACAATCCCAGATATATAGATTTATAAAATAGATATAAAAATCAAATATTTGCATATTACAAACCAGCATTTGCAAGGCATGCTAAACTAGATGATTTTCCTTTTTATGAAGTACAGCTAAAGCATCTTCTTCAGAGTCCACTGTAAACATTTCACAACAGATTTATGTAAATGTCTAAAGCAGGAACCAAGTGACATTCAGAAAATTGTAAGTATTGCCAATTTTTGTGACCCCAACACTGAGCTAAGGGGACCCCAAATTTAAGAAGAAGTGGTCCATATGATGCATATTATTTCTCATGGTCACATTTGGCGTGCCCCACCCTTTGTACTAATATGCAAAGCACATTGCTTTCTTCATTGTATACTGAACTTTTTCTTTTCCTTTAAAAATAAACTGTAGTAGACATGCTCAATACCCACTATTTCTCAAAAATGTAGCAGAAATGCTAACATTTTCCTCCTTTCACTGTGGACGACTAAAAATGTTATGAAATTCAAAAGAAAAGAGCAACACATTCCCTCCACTCTTTTCTCTTTCCTATAGAGCATTATGAATTCTGGATTCTGATTTCTTTCTCACCTTCTTGCATGAGCAAAGTAAGGTCCAACTATAGCATCCTAGTTATTTTCAACATGTCAAGAATAAGAGCTAATGTAGATGGATAGATAGTTATGTGTAGATATTTAAATATATGCCCTTTCCTTCCATACTGAGGCACTTAAAATGGCTATCAACAATAAAACATATAAATCCCATAAAATTATACAATGATAATATATTCATATACATTGAGCTGCACAGCCAAATAAAACACTGGAACCAATAAAGACAGTGACCAGTTGAACTAAAAGGAGCAGCCAACATCAGATCATAATCAGCTTGGCAGGATAAACAAAAAGGCATTTGTCTGGTGGTAGAAAGCTTGACAGATCATGACTATTCCAGGCCCAGAGCCAAAACCTGAGACCTAGGGATGACCCTAGTGATGCTACAAGGGGAAGCTCCTTGTGCTGCCATTAAGCATGACACCTCTTCTCTATCAACAACAATTGCATGGCACATTCAACTAAAAACAAAAACAAAACGCCAAGTTTAACTAATGGAGAAAAAACAAAGATACACCCTTTTATTATTCATGAGCATTTATATCCCAACCTACATCTAAAAAGGCTTTCAAAGAGGCTATCCGATTCCTGATCCAGAACCATGCATGGCTGCCAACACAGTTTGCATTGTAACCAATAAACAAGTTGTGGCCTTTGGTTATCCCAACACTGTATGTTCACCTATTTGTGTGGAGAGAGCAGGTGGAGGGTGGTCACCCCTGCCCACACAAACATTTTCACTGCACGACTGCAGATCTCAATTTCATCACACCACTAACCCCTCTGAACCAGGGCTGTAGCCGGGGGGGGGGGGGGGGTTTAACAGTTCAACAACCCCCCCCCCCGAATGTGTCAGGTTAAAAAAAACTAGGTTTATTCATGAATTTTGACTGGTTAACCAATTCATGAGGAAATCAGGATTTTCTAACCTGACACATTGGGGGGGGGGGGGTGAACCCTTAACCTCCATCCCCACCCCGGCTATGGGCCTGTCTGAACTGCCTTTGACAAACAATTCTACAAACAATCAAACTATATATGGGCTTCTCTGTGAATTAGGTAAAACAAACATAGATTATTTTACTGACATTTAAAATGGCATCAGTGAGACTGCCAAGAAAAACAGAAGGAACCAAGAAAATGGATACAAATGTGGAAATTTAGCCATCTTCTGCCACTTCTAGGACAGAAGAAGAAGAAAAAACACTCACTGCCTCAGGTTTAGTCCTGGAAATTTATGAGAAAAAAAGCAGGAAATAATGTATATCATATCTGAAAGGCCTAATCATTACAGATGCAGCTCTCATTAAACCCCATGTCTTTTGTCCAGTCTGGATGAGAACCAATATAATTTAGGAACTACAAAAAGCCATAGGAAATCCTATATATCTTCACTTAGAAAAGTTTGATTGTATTAAATTGGGTTCATTTGATAGCCAAGTATGCATCAAACTGCATCCTTCATCCGAATTCAAAATCCCAGATTATACATATATATTTTCAGTGCATTAACTCTTGTAATTTTATTGAACCGAAAAGATTAGATAAAAGGCCACTAACAACTCACTCAAATGGAAATAGAAAACAGGACAAAGCTAATACATACAAGTAATCAGATTTATAATTATAATTAATTATTTAACTTAATAATTCCATTCGAATCAAAGTGCCTTAGGAATTGAACAGGTATCTTTTGTTCTGGTAGCATGCATTAACTTGTTTGTGGGTCATTAACAGTACCACCTTTACAGCAACAAATGTTAAAATTGGCCAAATTTGTCTCATTTAACAAAACAAGTCCTTGTAATGCTCAAGCCTATTTGCATATATGGATTTCAAAAGCCAGTGGGAAATCAATTAAGTCATTTGCAGACAGGAGTTCACATCATTGAAGGATGCAATGATGTGAATCAATACTGTCTGGGATCTGGCTATCCACTCTCGGTGCTACGGCTTACCTCTTTGAATTTGTGAGCTAGTTTGCTGGTGTCCAGCTCTGCCGGGGAAAACATGTCCTCGTTTTCGGGAAGCTCAAACACTTCGATGGCCATATCTCCTCCTGGAAGGATAGGCCCCATGTCATCCTCGTCTTCATCAGTGGCATATTCCCCTGTCTTAGAAGCATAGAGTTATAGCATTTCAGTCATTCTCTTGTCACCAGACACAATCCTGCTTTATATAGTTTTCCAACACAAACAAATGAAGATAAGTAAATATGAAAAGACAGCAGTGGGCAAGCAGCAAAGGGTGGAATCTTTTGGAAACTATGCAACACAGATACAAGATCTAAATTCTAGAGCTATAGCAAAATTCTAAATGCTTGGACTATAATAACGGCACTATATTTTCCTCCCTTGCATACGTCCTGTCCTTCTTTTATAAGGAGTGCCATGATCATTCTCTCCTCACAACTACACTGTTGAAGAGAGGAGAGGCCCAGATCCTGCACAATCTTTCTCAATGACAACACATATACAGAAAATTCCTTGTACCATGGCTCTCAGTTTGGGTAAGCACTGTGGTTTTGTCATGTCAGGACAGCTTTTTCCTCTCCCCGCTTGCCCTAAACTCCTGCTAAGAAAACTCCTATGTTTTTTTTTTCTTCCAGAGAAGAAGTACTCTTACTTCTTGCATTTTTGTGTATTCTGACACCAGCAGCTCTAGCTTGAAGTCAGGAGAAGAAACATTCATATTTACACAAAGCACAAGGCACAAGGCAGCAAAACGGGGAAACGGGGAAGATAAGAAAGGAAAACACAAGGACTAAGGGAAGGCAGCAACGGCTGCATTCTTTCTTCAAATGGGAAAGGAATTGATAATGGTGCACAAGCAGTGAAGGAATACTTCTTGCAATGAACATGAATTCCTTTTTCTAGGAGCACCAGGTGAAGATTCAACAGGACCTCTCCCTTCACAGACACCTCTAACATGCTGTGGCTCAAAAAGACTTCTGATACTTGGGGTCTTACACTGAGAGGTCCATGTGGGAATTGACCCTAAAAGACAACATCCCAGTGCCACAAATCAACCTCACATGGTCGAAGCTGCTACATCAGAGTTACACAACTTGGTGCCCTCTAGATGTTTTGAATTACCATTCCTATGAAATTGGTTGTGAGAAATGTAGTGCAAAACATATGGTAGTTGTTGGGTAGTCTAGTTGTCTATGACAGCATACAGATATTGCTATTTAGGAGACATGATGGGTTGCTCAAATGTACTCTGCCCCATCTCCCTATAAGCAAAGGATAGGGATTGTGGATCCTTCCACACAGGCCTGTAGCGAGGGGGTGGTTTTAGGGGTTCA